TCAGAGAAGTGATTTAACCGAAAAGGTGAAACTGATGTGAACATTGTTTGCATTCAAAACAACGGCCAGCCTAGTAATAACAGTTTTGCTAGGTATAATTTGGTTGGCAAATTTTTTCAGTGTCTGAGATGGCTAACATTTTTGTCATTGATTTTAACAACGTTTAAAATGATCAATAACATAGATTGTTACACCTCATTGAATGTCAACAAAGATGTACGTTTTCAATGTACCAATAGCAAAATTCCAATAATAAACAAAATACATGTAATTCTCATAAAATTAAATTATTGTGTAACCTACAAATAATTAAAATATTCGTGAGATAAAGACTTGCCTCGAGTCAAATGTGACATGGTGTACATGATTCTTGTGATAGCATATTCAAATCGTTTGCTTTAGTTAAGTGAGATTTGTTATTGTTACAATACAGTATTGTTAGGCGTCAAATTGTTACACCAACTTCTTTTTGGACCTTGCTATTCATCCAGAGCCACATTCACAAGCCCCCCACCCTGTTTTATCCAGGGCCCATGTGGCCTTGAACGAGCTGCATTATCCCCCCTCCCAACCCCCTTTTTTCCAAAGGCCGAGCTCTTTAATTGTTTTTTGTCTTGCACAATTTGAGAAACGTATTCTTTGTTGAATTGTCAATTTATCAAAACCTATCAAGATAAAATCTAAATACTGCCTTGTGTAAATAGGCCTATGATGAAATTATATATCTACAAAAGAATTAACCTTAGTAGCTATGTTTGTCTCCTTTTAAAATAAAACTCTTTAATTTTCAACCACATATATTCAAATAACAAAATATTTTTCACGTAGATCTAAAAATTTTCCTTATTTTTTAACCGTGCATTCTTCAAAAAATCATCATTTTTTCTTAATAATCATCAACAGGGCTAGATAAGTATTAGAAAATTAGACAAAATAAAAATCCTGAAATAGTGAAAAAAGTTCAATTAACAAGATATATAAGAAAGAAGTTATCTGACGACTAATTTATATGTTCAATGATGTTTGCAGTGATCAAATTTACGACCATTCGATGAATATAAAGATCAAATGGTTATCTGATAACGAATTCACGACCATTTGATGAAGAAAAATATCATATGGTTAGATAATCGAATGGTTATTAAACAACATTAATAATGACGATTGATTGACTTGCCTCTTCTCATATTGCATGGACAAATTGGGTCCACGGAATCATTTGGGCCATCAACGATTAGATGGGCCAGTGGTCCACTACGAACGGGTGGTAGCTTGGTAGACTGGTAGTAGGGAAAAATCATAACTCAGTGATTTAGTTTACACCTAATCATAAATCAGGTGTATGGTTTGAAAATGAAAAACTCAGGATAAGATAATTAATTAAAAATATTTATTACTTAAATGTAATAAGATCATAGTTATATAATTATTGGTCACCGGTACATAATTACAAGTCACGGCTTATTTATTAGTCACATATTGTCAAATTATTGGTCACGGATTATTTAGAAGTCACAAATCAATAATTTTATGGGTCACAGTTTATCTAATTGGTCACAGTTTATCTAATTAGTCACAGTTAAAAAAAATTATAGGTCATAGTTTATCTATTGGTCCCATATTTTCAAATTTGTTGGTCAAAGATTATATTTTTAATAAGAAATGATCAAATTTTAAGGTCAGATTTTAATAGTTAATCAAAATGAACCAAATAATTGGTCGCATACACTCAAACACCCGATCCCAATCCCGATCCACCACCAATACTTGGTTACACATCGACCAAATAGTTGGTCACAGACACTCTTCGTCCAATCACTTCGCTACGTTGCCACCTCCACCACCATCGTCACAACAACCAGCTACAATAACAATAACACAACACTGCTGCCACCAACGTCTCTATCTCACCACTATCATGACAACACCACCCAGATTTGAACCCACGCCACCACCACAGTAGGCACAATCACCACCATGCCAACACGAACTCGCCATGCTCTCAGCAACCAAGACAGTCCCCATGGCGACACTGCACAAGCCGCAGCACCACTACTTAACAACCACCAACACCACAACCACCACTAAAACAACTACTTGCAAAACCGAAAACAAGTAAAACCACCTACTGCTAACATCAAAACGATAACAAAAAAAGGAACACCACCATCGATTTGTGCTGCAGTAAGCGCTGCTCACAAGGAGCGACGACGGCCATGGATGGATCTGCAATCACACGATATGGGTAAAATAATGCAGCAACTCCTTTTGACTGACGATTCGCGCTCATTCTAGGGTGATATGGATTGAAGATAGGTGATGGGCTGGGTGACGATGATTGGAAGATGAGGAGTACGTGATTGCACCGAATTCATACAGGAGATAAGTGAGGGGCGTTTCACTGGAGAGAGATGGTGGGGGAAAGAGAGAGTTGTGGAGATAAATTAGAGTTTTGATAGATGGGGACCTGATTTGTGAATAATGAAACATCAACCCTGATTTTTGAATAGTGATCTTTAAAGACCTGAAATGATGTAATTTTCTCTTGGGGGTTTTGGCAACTATTTTTCTCTCAAGCGCCCAAAAATTAAGATGAAATTATTTATTTTTTTGAATTAATATGAATTATTGAGAGAAAATATCATACACACCGATACTTATTATGACAATTGTAGAGACAATTGTTAATATGCAATTTTTTGATAGGCAGAAAATATATTTGTAATAATAAAATTAGTGGTTACATTGACATTTACATTGAAATAAATTACAAGACCACTAAACTAAAATTCAGCTTTTTTTCATTTGAAAATAAGTAAGTAAATAAATAAAATTCTCCACGCGAATAATATTATAATACGAAACAATAGATAATAGTTTTGTAGGACCCATACAATATGAATTAGTCAGAACTTCCTCAAATAGTGTCTGGCTTCCTTCACTATCATTTGAGAAAAATGGTTGGTGTGCAAAAATTAATTTACAGAATGTTCACATAAATCTCACAAAAGTGTGGTTCGATATGAATAAATAATGCCAAAAAATTTACTCGCCCCTGGCCCCAATGTAAGGTGTCGATAGAGGTTCCTGTACACCAATCATCTCTCATCATTTGATGGGGTCAGAATTTATCGAATGATAATTAAAACTACAATTATTATGTATGATTGATTGGAAGATCGAGTGGTTTATAATGCCCTGGAAGTGGGGAACACTATTAGACTTTGGACCCTCCAGTACTGGATTTCGTCGTACTTTTCTAATTGTTGCTATCTGATTTGGAGTACCATTGTTTTGGTGGGCCATCGTCTCTTTTGGGTTCACTCATAAATCGGCCCATGTTAAACTTGCTAAGCAGTCTTCTTTTGCCAGTCTCCACAAAATTTTACTCGTAATATTTGCTGAAATATGTGGGAAATTAATAGGGAAAAAAATGTATATACCCTGTAAGAAAATATTATTTTTTTAAAATATTACAAATTGTTATACATACCTAATATGCTAGATATTATATAAAATAATATTAAAAATACTATTTTCATATAATTACTCCAACACACATTTTATAACTGAATTTTAAAGCAAGACATATTTCTTACCAGGTTCATGTCTAATGACTGTCATATTATATGAGCATAAATACAAGGAAAATTTTGATTTTCATTAAGGTCATCTATCAATAAATTGAAGTAGGTATCACAACATTAAATGGCATGAATCCATTTATAGATCAAGTAGATGTGCTTTGCTTCCAACCAGGGCCGGCCCTTGGGCCCAGCCACCTAGGCCACCGCCTAGGGCCTTCAAATTTTGGCTTGGGCCCAGGGCCTCAAAATCCATAGTATTTTCAATTCCCAAAATAAGAAAAATGCTTTGGGGCCTTTGGGCTTGGACCACATGAATTAAATTATTTTGCAGACTTGGTCCACTTGGAGTCCCGAGTCCGTATACAATACATACATACACCACAAACCGCCCAGCCCGTTATGTTTTCAATTCGACTTCCTCTAGTCTCTGGTTCCTCTCAAATCTGAAATCTCAATCCTAGTGAATCCAGAATCCTTTGTTGTTGTCCAAAATGCCCCATCTTCAATAATTTGTTTCTCTATTTCTCCATTCAAATCTCGAATTCTCTATCCTTTCGTTGAGGTAAAACCCAGTATTTTTGTTGACAGAATTTGTTTATTTCTTTTTGTTGTTCTTATATGTAAGTATCTATATGTTTGAATTATTTTTTTTGTGGGATTTAATTGGTTGGTTCTCCTTGAAATTCTTCATGATTTATTATCTGGGCTCGCTTTGTTTTCTCAGATGTTTTGTGATATTTTTGGTGGATAAAGAATTATAGATCGTGCCAAGAAAGTAAAATTTCGAAATTTTTATTTATGGATCAATGATTTATGATTGGAAATTTCCCGTTTATCCTGTAGATTTAATTTTTAATTTTTTTATTTTTGTCTGACTAGGAATTTATTTTGGCTCAATTTTGATTGTATGAATTGCAATTCAATTTGATTTTTTAATTTTAATATGAAAAAAAATTTAATCATATATGTTTGAGGCATTAAAGATAATGGGTTCTGGTATCCTATATTCATTAGTTTCGATTTTTAGGGTTATTTATTTTTTCTTTCGAATTTGTACATAAAAAAGTTGAATTTCTGATTAGGATTTAAACTATTGTCTATTGATGTCTTTGCTAGTTGATTATATAAGTCCGTGAAATGTTATGAGTCCATAAGAAATGGTTTGCGAAATTTTGGCTGATGATCATAAATTGATCACTCTGTTTTATGTGTGTTTCAGAATAGGAATTCAGTAGCTGGCATAGTTCAGTTTTTGTGATGTTAATTTACTTCAACCTGTTATTCTCATATAACTTCGTTTATTTATTATTTCTTGCAGGTTGATTGTTGAATTTCTACACTTGGAATATTTGAGAATCTGGGATACTTTTAAGTAGAACTCAGAATCAGGTTCTACCGTTATGTACTTTAATTATGTCCACTAGAAAATTTGAATCTGGATATTCTAAAAGAAAACGGCATAAGAAGGTTGAACGATTGATTAAACCTCAAGAGGGAGCCCTTGATAAATTTTCTAGTGGTAGTAAACAAAAACATAATGACGATGTAGTTCTTGAAGAAGTGTTTAATAAGAATGATATCGACAATAATACAATTGAAAAACATCATTGTCTGGTAAATGAAGAGATATCTATCGAGGATGATGTTATGGATGAAAGAAACATCAATGAAAAGATTAGTGAACCATTCTCCTTTAATATTAGTGATCTAGTGAATTGGGAAAATATGAATCAGAATTTAAGAGATTTAATCGTAATGAAAGGTCCGGTAAGAGATAATGATGTAATTTTTTCAAAAGATGTAGCTAATCGACACTTTTCCTCTGTTCATTACACTCGACGGTTACCCAATGGAGAGAATCATGATAGAAAATGGTTGTTATAATCAAAAAGTCTGGATAAAATATTTTGTTTTTGTTGTAAGCTATTCAGGAATGATGGGGTTCAAACTCAATTGGCACATGATGGTGCAAATGATTGGAAAAATATTGGTGAAAAACTAAGAACACATGAAGTGAGTTATGACCATATCACTAACTTGAGTAGATGGATCGAAATGGAAATAAGATTTCAAAAGGAACAAACAATTGATAAAAGTGTGCAGGAACAAATCAATAAGGATAGAGAACATTGGAGACAAGTATTGTTGAGAATAATATCTATGGTTAGAACTCTTGCAGAAAATAATTTGGCGTTTCGTGGAGATAATGAGAAGATATACCGAGAAAATAATGGTATCTTCTTAAACTTAATTCAAATGATTGCTGAGTTTGATCCTGTAATGCAAGAGCATATTCGTCGAATTCAAAATAAAGAAATTCATTATCATTATCTTGGACACAAAATTCAGAATGAGTTGATACTTATGCTAGTGGATGAGATCAAGAAAATAATCATCGAGAAACTCAAAGAATCCAAGTACTTTTCTGTGACACTTGATTGCACTCTAGATTTGAGTCATGAAGAACAAATGTCTATAGTATTGAGGTGTGTTGATATTTCAGCAAGTCCAGTGAAGGTAGAAGAATTTTTTTTAGGATTTTTATTGGTGGATGATACATCTGGAAAGGGACTTTTTAATGAATTAGTGAATGCGTTGAATAATCTAGAGCTTGATATCGATGACATAAGGGGTCAAGTATATGATAATAGTGCTAACATGAGAGGAAAATATAAAGGGGTACAGAATAGACTACTACAAGTAAATCCTAGAGCATTTTACACTCCTTGTGGGTGTCATAGTCTCAATCTTGCACTTTGTGATATGGCTACTTGTTGTACAAGAGCTAAATCTTTCTTTGGAGTGGTACAACGTATATACACTCTATTTTCATCATCTACTAAAAGATGGAAAATTTTTAAAGATAATGTAAATGGCCTTACTCTTAAGCCTTTGTCTCAAACACGTCGGAAAAGTCACGTTGAAAGTATTAGAGCAATAAGATTTCAAGCTCCACAAATAAGAAATGCTCTACTTGAATTGGCAAGAGTTGATGATCCTAAGACAAAAAGTGAGGCGGAGTGTTTGGCAACATATGAAATAGAGAATTTTGAATTCTTACTTGGGATGGTTATTTGGTATGAAGTGTTGAATAATGTTAATAGAGTAAACAAACATTTGCAAACAGAGGACATCCATATTGACGTTGCTATAGACCATTTAAAAGGGCTCATTTCATTTTTCAAAAGCTATAGAGAAACTGGGTTTGAATCGGCCGTGATTGATGCTAAAGAGATTGCAAGTGAATTAAACATTGAACCGATATTTCGTGAAAAAAGAGTTATACGTAGAAAGAAGCAGTTTGATGAGATTTCTTGTGAAGAGATGACAGAAACAGCTGAAGAATCTTTCTGGGTCAATTATTTCTTATATGTAGTAGATCAAGCTCTATCATCGCTTCAAAATAGATTTGAACAATTTCAGGAATATGACGATATTTTTGGATTTTTATTTGATTTGGAAAAGCTTAAATCCATTGATGATGCTACATTGAAGTGCCGTTGCATTAATCTTGAAAATTATTTGAAGCATAACATAGTATCTGATATCGATGGAATGGAATTATTTTCTGAGTTGAAAATTTTAAGAGAAGCAATATCTACAAAAATGAATGGAGCAGCTGATGTGTTAAATTACATTAAGAGAATGAATAGTTGTTTTGCAAATGTTTGGGTTGCTTACAGGATATTATTGACTATCCCAGTCACTGTTGCGTCCGCTGAAAGAAGTTTTTCAAAGTTAAAATTGATTAAGTCTTATCTTCGATCAACTATGTCACAAGAGAGGTTGAATGGATTATCTATGATTTCTATTGAAAAAAAATGTTGGAAAAAGTTGATTTGAGTTGTTTGATTACTAATTTTGCATCTCAAAACGTGAGAAGACTAAATATGATGCTAGCTTAATCTCTCGGATTGTAAGTGATATTTTATTTAGCAATTTCATCTTTTATATTGTACAAATTTTTCATTTAAATATAGATTTTTTTAATTTAAATATTGTTATATGTGTAGAAAAATAAAGTATGGGGCCTCAAGATTGCCGACTCGCTTAGGGCCTCCGAATTGTCAGGGCTGGCTCTGCTTGCAACGCAGAAGAGATTTATTTAATAATTGAGTTCGATAATACACATGGTATATTGATTACTTAATATTAGTCTCATCCCATTTCACAAAGTGACAGAGTGTTGACTTATATGATTACGTAAAATGATTTTCAATAACTCCGAGCAGACCTAGCAAGTATTATCTTAGCATGGAAAATTCGAAAGGAATCACTCAATTTATGAAAGTGAAAGAATTTTTTTAAGATTATCGAGTCAATTAAAAAATGATCCTAGACATGCCCAACCATCGAAGTCTCATAGTTGAAATGAAACATGCCTAGAAAGATAATGAACGTTCACAACATAGTCCCTAGAATGAGAGTAATTGCTCTGATACCAAATTAACGTAATAATTTGACAATGAACAAAAAATATTGAGGATCAAAGAAGGCAAGATGAAATTTGTTAGGTCAGAAGGTACATATTACAATGAATAAGCTCTCATCTATATATAGCAAATAATCTAAAATTAATAAAACTAATGAACTATATCAAAAAATTAAACTAATATAATCTAATTTAAACAAACATAATTTAAATTAAACTCCATTTTAAAATTCTATCTTTATTTTATTTCTATCTCCATAAGTGACTCAATTGTCACGGAGGAATTAATAACTTGCATCACTGGTTAGGAACAAATGTGGGCAAGAGGATGCCTTTTGAGGTTTCTTGTATGTGGTTATGGAAATAGCTCTTGCAGATTTATAATGCTGATAGCTTTTTGGTGGTGATGGGGTGTAAGGTAAACAAAGCCTCAGTTCTTGTATTTGTTCTGATAAATATTGTGCCGTCCATTCGAATGTTAAGTTCTATTGAATGATTGTATTGGACAAGAATGATGAACACGATAATAGATAAATCTTTTATGTGTTTAATCAATAGTGAGGATAGTCATAAAAAATCTATGCCCTTGATGTACAGCTTAGATGGTATAAGTAATGGAACAAGAATCAGGTTCTAGAGATTAAAATGCCAAAATGTAGTCTTAAACACAACATATTGAGAGATTTTAGTATGCAGAAAATATTCCATTTTATGACTCCCTTTGCCAAAATACGCTCTCTAGAAAGCCGTAAGTATATATTTAGAGATTATTAGTTATTCTATTCATATTTTATATCGTTAAATATAATCGTCTTTTACTTCGCTTGAACCAAGTCGAGACTCTTGAGGGCCAAATAGAATATGAACTATGTCATTTAGAGTAGTACGTACTCAATCGTTAGTTGAATAGCTTTAACCTTGTTTATTGAATAACTTGATCGACCAGACTTATTTGAAAAACTTGGCCAATTCAATTCTCGAACTAAATTCATAAAAATTAAGTCAAATTAAGTATTTTTTAAAATGCGAGAATTCAATGCTGACCTCATCTTCTCACATTCATTTTTTCAACCGTGCTTCACGTACCTAGGGGAGCCTTACAGACTTTTTCTAGAATACACACATACGTAGGGTCCACGTAATTTATTATTATTATTTTTAATACATGTGGAGCTCCTGCACAATGAGGAGCCCTGTAAAACATCCGTGAGTAAAATTTTATACACTGGACACTTCTGTTATATTTAACCCCTTCTAGTGATTTTGTAATGTTAAATCGTATGCAATAGCATTTATCGGTCACTCAAAAAATTTCTTCAATATCTAATTACATAGATATTGCCTCCATTCTTATAGTCTTATTAAAAGTATGAGCCACATTTAAGAAGTGGGATCATTTCGTAGATTGCAAACAGTTATTAGCCCCGTTTGCTTCTCATTTTTAGAAGAATAAGAATGAAAAATATAGTCGTTATGAGTCTCACACAAGAGATGTAAATTCAAATTTGATGGTTTGATGTGATGGATGATGATCATATTTTTTATTTTAATGAGAAAAGAATAGAACCAAATAGGAGCTAATTATTATGAAAGGAGTTGACATTTGTTCATATGGGCCCGAAATCCCCTGGTAACCTTCAGTGGTTCACATAATCAACAATTAATCAACACATATTAAATAATTAGCTTAACTAACTCAAATCCATCATGATTCATTGCCGACCCTTTTTCGATCCATTATTCTTCCTCAAAATTTGGGTAAAACTATATTTCTTTATTAATTTTATGAGGCATTTATCAAAAGAATTTTTTTTAACACTTTTAACACTACACCAGAAAAGGGTTATTGCAATGGTCAAAAAACATTGCAAAAAGTCATTTGTAACGTTTGAGCGTACGTTGCGAAATTTGATGTTGCTATTGAGATAAGACTTTTTGTAGCGTTTAAAAAACGTTGCAAAAGCCTAGTCTGTTGCAACGTTGCGAAAGTCGATCTATTCCAACGTTGTTTAAACGTTGTAATAGCCTATCTATTGCAACGTTTAACAAACGTTGCAATAGATAATTCACATTTTTTTTATCTATGCTTAAACACTACTAAAAATCCTGTTCTTTGATCAAATAAGTCATTCAAAACTAACAAACATGTACCACCAAAATAATAAACTAACAAACACATTACTCATTAAATTTGTAAAATATTCAACACATATTCTCTTCCAAAATAAAATTAAGAGTCTCCAAACATGTACTACCAAAAAATAATTAGGCAACTACAAAAATCGAAACTTAAACTTGAAATCGTCGCATGTTACTCGATCAATACCATTGCCACTAAGAGTCTAATACCTTAATCAAAAAGTCTGATACTACTCTTTGGCCAAGCAACAGTACTTTCCATGGCTTCACTAAGAGTGCGGAATTCATTTGTGGGTTTGTATAGGGTCAAATTACCCATGTAGACTTCCTCAACCCAAACCTTCCAACAGTCTCGATCGAGTGACAAGTGATGCACCTTTGCACTTGGATCTGTTGTGGCAATCTTCTCTTCTGCTATGACTTCTTCCTCCTCAAACATGTATCAATGCAATAGTTGACATCTTGCATTTGTCTTAGGGGTAATACTTCCTTGGACACCACTTCCTTGGTGTGACTACAAATTCATAATAAACAGAAAATATTCTTTTTAAAATTAGAATGCTACAAACTGAATATATATTAAATAAACATTTAATAATATAGGAAATGAAAACCTGAGTAAAAGCATTTGAATTCCTATCCTCCACATTCTGTACAATAATACAAAAATTACAAAAGTTATTATACATGTAATTGGCTATATAAAGCTATATACTCATAAAATGTATAAAAAGTAACTACTTATAACCTGCTAAGAAAACCTGATAAATGCTTCCATTTTTTCTTCTAATGTCCCCATCCTTTGTGCCTGAGTCTGTACTTAGCTTTCAAGTTCTCTAACTCTCCCACTACTTTGTATTTGTCTATCCACTTTTGATGGTACAACTCCAAATCCGAGTCCCCTAACTGTCCCATGACGTTCGGGACCAAAAACTTGAGCTATAGCATCATCACAGATGGAATCTTCGGCAGGCGTATCGAAAATTGATGTGGCACAATCTTCAATCTTTTTCTACACTTATGGAACTCAAATCAAATAGTAGCAAGTGATACAACTAATAAATCAAATTATGCTTAATTGACCATTAGTATAATACACATACCAATGTTTCGGCAACTGCTTCATTAATTGGTTTACCATCTTTTCTGAGATGTTCATATTTCCATACTTCTGTTCTTAACCCTTTTAAACGTGGATTCTTTTTCTTCAGTACAAATGTAGTAATCAAATATATTGAAATTGGACAATTCAAGTAAAAATACATGATATGTTCGTAAGAAGTACCATTTCATAAGCTACACGTGAATAACCCTTTCTACCCATAGTATGTAGAAACTTCTGATTAGTTCGCATGTTGCTGAACCTGGAACTTTTCTCCCATAGAAAAAAGAACGAAGTATAAAACAACAATAATTAAAATAAGGGTTAAGCTTTACATGCAAATATACTTACATGAAAATAAGCAGAAAGAGTATTATCGACAAATTTAACCCATACTTCTTCAAAGTTGATATTCTTTGGTCTAAGAAGGCTAATAGTGCGTGCTCTATTCACAGATGATTCAACTTGAGTTCTAATTTGTTTCTTGATTTGAATATCATCCAGTACTTTCCCATACATTGAAATGTCATTCTTTGATGACAATCACTAACATTGAACATTTGCTATATTTATGCACAGGCATGAATTTAAGACTTTAGAAAATGGTATCATTAAGAAATAAATAAATACAACGTCCAGGTTTGACGAAAATATTAATTAATTCTAGTAAAAAAACATTACATGGATCAAAATAATTTTGGGAAAATTCACAAAAAAGAGTTTAACTATAACCCATTTCAAAACTAAGATTAAAGGTTTAAAATTTCAAAAATCATATATTTATTAAATTTTATGTTTGAAATAATTAATTAAAATTATATTTATAAATTAAATATACGGTCACCATTTTATACAATTCGATCACAAATTATCGAATTAATTGGTTACAAATAATTTTTCGGTCACAATTACAAATTTTATAGATCACAAATTATTTCATGGTCACAAATATCAAATTAGTTGGCCACAAATTATGTTTATGTTACAAATTAACAAATTTTTAGACCACACATTATTTATTGGTCATAATTTATCTTTTTTATTGATTACATATTATTTATTGATCACAAACAATTAAATCATTTGTGACCACCACCTCACCACTATCACTAGCCGCATCACTGCCAAAACAATCGCAACCGGAACCACCACCACCACCATCATCTCATACCACTAGCCTACCACTGCATAACCACAAACCCCACAAAAAAAATCTCCAAATCTGTCGTTAACACTACCACCAGCACCTATATCAACAATAACCACCATTGCCGCATCAATCACAACATCGCCACAACAATGACATTACATCACAGAACAAAGACAAACGAACATTGCCACCTCCTTGCACCACCGTTGTCACCTCCAATAAACTACCATTTTGAACTTCAAAGCCATTATCGCCACCAACACAACCTGCACCACAATTTTGTGGC